CATTCGATCTTTCCATCAGAGACTTGGGACCTGTCCCTCTCTCGCCCATTTGTAACCCCTACTATGAACTTTTCAGTGCTAATAACATAAGCAGCAGCCATGAACTAGACATAGGGACATTCTGCCCGAACCAGTATAAACCTTGTGTCTTTTTAGCACACCATCCGGGCCAGACGCGCAATAATACAAATTTACTCGTTGGTGTTTACTCGAAACACCGACACTTATCGTTAGAAGTTTATTTCAATTCCGTTGTTTAAATTCCGCACTCTGAACTTGGTATTGTAATAATGTATTTCTGAGAACTCTTGATGTATGAAATTGACTAAGTATTGTAAACTTGTTCTCATTATTGGATCCTGGAGGAAAAACATGGATTGTCCGAGTTCTCCCTTGGGGTGTGCTCGATGGAACTGTCCGATGTAGCTTGCTTTTGGGGTGCTTAGTGTCTAGTGGAAGACAAGCGCCTCCAAAGGTGTGTTATTTCGGGCGGTTCTGCCACAGACCCAAGGTACCTCCTTTTCGATGATTGGTGGAGAGGGAGATATCCACGTAAGCACTTCGAGCGGTGGGTTCCACCTCCCTCTACCCCCCACCACCAATGACGGCTAAGGAGAAGCACCTAGCCACAGTTAGATGACTCAAGGAACCTCCTCTGTGCGATTGCGGACATCGAGCTATGATAAACCCTGAGAATACGTTGGAGTTTGTGTGTCCCAACAAGCACGAAGTAAGTGGAAAGTGTATCTGTTTAAATGTTTAGCTCTATGTGTGCATGTACTAATCTATTCTCTTCTAGTGCTTTGGATTTGTGAAGTGTCATTTCAAGGAGTGGCTCTATGGTCCTAAGAATCAATGGCCGGAGCCGCCAAAGGCAAAGGAAAAGAAGAAAGAAAGGATAATCATCGAAGCACCTCCTGTCATGTGCGATGTGGTGTTAAAACCAACTATGGCCTAGTCCCTTCGAAGCTTGGAATAGACCATTGGTGTGGCCATATGGTTGACTATGATGAGGTTGGTTACTGTTGTGAAAAACATGAAATCATATTTTTCTTCTGTGAAGACTTATAATCTATTTTTCATTTGAACAGAGCATTAGGAAATGCAAGTGGGAATCTTATGATGGTCAAGCTAAGTTCCTGGATGAAATCAAGGCTAAGCAAATAATTGCACGGAAGTTTGGTTATGGACCTCAGTTCGTCGAGCTTTTCGTTAAAGGCCACGTAAAGAAGATGCGTGAGTTTGCTAGACAGCGCGGTTTTCATAACCCGATCAGTGTTAGGCTTGACAAATGGGGGTTGGAGAGACGGAGGAAGGCAGAGGAGGAGAGGGCAAGGAAGGAGGCAAGGGAGGAGGCAAGAGTATATATGCAGGTCTTGAACAACCATGTTGTGTGCCAGTGAGTGACTGAAAGCCTTGTTATTTTCATTGCCTACTTTTAAATGTAGTGCGAGATGGGCCAAGTACTTGTACACGTAGAAGCCGCATGAACCATGACCATGATTCATTGTTCTCTCCCTCTGCCAAAGAAAAAGCCATGAGACTATCTGGTCCTCTAGATCAACAGCAACAGCCATCATCAAGGTGCCCCTATACTTTCTGATCAGGAAAATGCCATTAACAAGTACGACTGGCCGACAATACTGGAATGCATGTTTCGTCTGCTCGAACGACCAGAACACACGATGAAGGACATGCCTCAACGGGTTCTCAAAATACATCCCCCGTTGTCTATAAACCATTTCAAGGTAGGGTTATAGTAATGCATTGCACATAATATTCGGGAAACCCTGTTGTACGCTTCCTCCCAGCTACCCCACCGAATCATCAGGGCAATTTGCTTAGCATGCCAAGCCTTTCCGTACTTCACATCATACTTAACGAATCCGAATATAGACTGTTGTAAGAAAGACACCGAAATGTCGTTATTGTCATCAACGAGCCCCAATATACGACGGGCAAGGTAACGTGTAGTGAGCTACTGATGATTTTCCTTCCCCTTATTTGATAGACAAGTGTGGGGTTCGACCACTTTACTTATCCTCCACTTGCCATCACTATGTCTCTTTCGTGCATTTAACCTCCACATACAACTATTTTTGCATATCACGTGGTACCTCAACTTCTGGTCCGAATAAGTGACGTTGTACAGCTTATGGTGATAGACAACATAGTCCTGAAGGAACAACTTCATCTCTGACATTGTATTGAATATCATCCCCTTGTTAAGGATTTCATTCTCATGGTCATACAATAATTTCCTACACATCTACAGACCGGTGTTACAAACTGCCATATCCGTCATGTTGACATCCCTATAGTTCGGAACGCCACTGAAAGGTACGTTCATCGACCTCAGTTGCATAAGCTCTGTCGTTGTGTAAGGTGGTGGTGCAACGTACTACTGTGGTTCGCTAATTCTACCCCATGAATCATATGGGGTATCATCCTCTAGCAAATCTATGACTAGTCTACTCTGAGCTAGCATAGCATGAAGTACCTCAGTTGGTACTGGTAATGGCATGACATCAACCGGTGTTGGCATAGCATCTCTACCTCCTTGCTCATCATCCAAATCGTCTGAATCACTGCTAACTACATCACCGATCTTGTCCTCCTCCTCCTCTTCCCGTTCGAACTCATTCACATCGAAGTCATTGCTTATACAGCCTACTGGAGTTGAATGAAGCTGCTCCTGCGTCAACTGACCATCCAAATCCATAGTACCCATAGTTGGTTCCACATGGACCCCACATTCTTGTTGAGTATCACCGTCGAAGGACGGTCCCTCCTAGAGACCATGCATCCTGTATCCATTCTCCAACACCACCTCAGTCATGGCCACATTGGAACCTTGAATTACCCTACTGTAGCAGGACCAGCGAGCATGGTCGCTCAAAGGCATCAGCACGTAGTGTGCCCTAGTCTTTTCACTATCAAACCTCCCCTTCAGTGTGAAATAACCGCCAAACTTTCCCTTCAAACGGACACAAAGATCACTGAAGCTAGGAGGTTCATCAAACCATTCTAAATCTTCTTCAATATCCTCAAACATATCATCTTCTCTCCTAATACTTCCTCCCTAAAAAACTCTGATACAACAATCCATCTACAAAAGCATTTCAAAAAACTTCATCAAATCGTCGTGTCTACTAACTGATCTAGTATTAATACCTATACTAACTACACTTATACCAACTAACTAATCTAATATTAATACATATACCAATAATTCTAACTAACTATACTAAATAACTACACTAACTACACTAATATTAATACCTATACTAACTATACTGAGTAACTTTACTAACTATACCTATCTAGCTAACTGCAAAACTAACCATTAATAACTTAACTTTACTAACTTCACTAAATAACTTTCCTAAGTAATTATATAAATCACTATCCAATCAAACTAAATTTGAATCCTAACCCCAGCTAACAAAAATTTGATTGAAGCAACAAATGCAGAAGAGCATTACCTCGACAAACAAGAGGGAAGATTGGGGCTCACCCCAATCCACCAAATGAGATTTATGATCACCGGCCAAGCAATGGCTTGGCTAAGGCAGCGCAGTCGCTTTTAACGCCCACAGGTTGGTGCACGGAACGACATCGGTGGCGGGGAGGGAGAGGAGAGAGATGATGGGACATAGGGAGGCAATGAGACAGAGGCACCGCCACACAACAAGACGAGGAGACCAAGGCAAGCAGCAGAAGGGGATAGAGGGAGGGGCGCGCAGCAGTGGGGAGACATGGAGGGGCGGCGCGGCAGTGAGGAGGGAGGGAGGGCGGCGGCGGCAGTGAAGAGTGAGGGAGGGCGACGGCAGGCGCGGCGCGATGGGCGCAGGGTGGCTCAGGGCACAGCTCCTCTCTCCAACCGGTTCAAACGGGCCGAGTGGGACAGAGAGAGAGAGAGGAAGGGAAGCGAGGCCAGGTCGCAGGCCTGTACATGGGGCTGCCGCGCCGTGATGCATGGCGCGTCAGCCCCGTGCCGGTGGCACGACAGCCCGGTCACGTCAGCGGTCAGCGCTGCGGCTGACTGCCACAGTGGCAACCTTGCCGCGCCTCCATGCATGGCGCGGCAGAATGATTTCGCCGCGTCGTGCGAAGAGGCGCGTCCAAAAGTGTTAGTTTTGAAAATAAATGTCCAAAAGTGTTAGTTTTGAAAATAAATAAATAAACAGTGTCAGATTTGAAAATAGTTTAAAACAAGTATTAAAAATAAAAAAAATGGTGGGGGGGTGGTGGTCAGCAAGCTGAGAGGATATCAAACGGGCGCAGTGCCCAAGTATACCTGCGTTTTGAGAGCTGACTGGACAAAAAATCCTGTTTTCAAGTTCAGCGATCAGAAACAAACTTGACGATAGTTCAATGGCAAAATAGACCCTTCTTTTTAAGGAGCGCCAGCGGACCGGTTAAGCCAAGTAAGTGCGGAAGCTAGGTAGCCAAATACGTGAACTGGGTTTAATCATGGCGCAGACCCCTCAGGGCGTCCGCAACGGCGGGCGACGTCGCCGGCCTAGGTCCACACGGAAGACGAAGAAAGGAGGGAGGCGCCTAAGCTAGCCACGAAAAAATCGTCAAGCTTCTGTCAAAAAACAAATCGCCAAGCGATTTCACGCGCCCCGAGTGTTTGAGAGAACAAGTGGGACCAGATGAGAAAAGAATTGATAGGATGGAAGCGGCATTAATGAGATTCATTTGGGCAAAGTTTATGCTGGGGCAGCAGCGTCAATGGTATGCTAGAACATCGATGAGGTGAAGCACACGTATCGGCACAGGCCAAAGAACAAGAGCTACGATGACGTGAAATGACCGAGCTACATTGTTCACGAGTCAGAACCTTGAGGCTCGGTTACATCGAGCTAGTTAGTAGGCAGGAGGAAACCAGCATCCAGTTACAAAATGCTCGAGCTTCTGCTCCCTGCACCTTTGGCCTAATCCCACTCCCCATATCGAATCCAAAAATCTGTGAAGAAACCCCTCTATAGCTGTTACAACCTACCCCTGTCCATGAACTTCTTGACCTCATCATACAAAACGAGTATGGCGGCTGCACCAGTGCTCCTAAACATGTTAGACAGTGCACCGCGGTAGAATGATCGGATCCCCTCCAGCCTGTATATCTTCCTCCAGCAGTCGAGTGTGCTGCTGTACATCTGCACCTCCATCCCTGACTGCATCATCATCCTTCGCCGCACCGTGTCCAGTGGGTACGAGATGAGCCCTGCCATGGATGTCACGGCCTGCGCTGCAACCCAGCGCTGCCACAGGGGGGACTCAAGAGGCACCAGGACATCTTTGGCAGTGTCGAAGCCGCCAAAGTACAGACCCCGGTGAACGACCATCCCCTGGAGTGACGCTGGTAATCCCCTGTAGATGCCTCTGATGCCGTTTGTCTTGTAGATGGTTTGGATGAAGTGGCGAATGCCTCTGAACTGGCGGGTGTCTGTACGTCCGATATCAGCTGCAAGACGAGTGTGAGCAATGTCGAGTGGATAGATGAGGACCAGGGTAGTACATCCAGCAGCAGCACCAGCAAGGAAGTTGCTAAGAGCAATAGAAGTGAACTTATTGTCTGCTGAGGTTCCAGCATCTTTCAGTATGCTTCTGTACAGATCCTGCAAGAATTATGGTAACAGGTTAGAGACAACAATCCGAGTTGACAAGTTGTGACTTGTGATAGGATGCTCTTACAAAATCAGACATACTCATCAAACTTTCTAATTGACTCATGTACTTCTTGATAAATTAAGAAAATTGAACATATGTACTCATGTACAAGGAACATGTAACATGCTAGTTGCAAGAGGCTGATGCCAGCATTATCTTAAAAACATGATAGGGTTTATGAAAGACAATGCCCATCTACAGTGTAAGTTCAAGCTGGTCTCCAAGACTTCGACCAAATATGGTGTATCATTTGGCGTCCTAATCATAAACATCCATTAACTTCTAACTGAAGGGTTTTCAAACTATGTGACGGTAAAGAATATCAGCTACATTTATGTATCACTACTGGTTACATAAATAGTCTTGGTAAAACATAGATAGTATGTCTACTATGAATGTCACAGTCAATAATAATAATAATCATAAAACTACTAAAGAGTCCACTTCACAACATGACATACCTTCCAAAACCTGTTAGGTCATTGCAATAAAATATCAAAGTACGGCATTATAAATCTATGCCATTCATTACTTCCAGAACCCATGGAAAAAATGGCAAGTCCAATAGATGTTGTGGAAACTATTATTTATACAAGCACTATCTTTCTGCATTGCCTTTTGTCATCTTGTGCCAAAGCTGTTCGACAGTTCTAAACTTTAACAGCCAAGCTTTCATAATAAACAATTACATAAATTTTAGTTTAGGGATCCATATGTCACTAGATTACGGTGAATAAGTACCCAATGAACCGACAAGTAAACCCCCAGATTCTTTTACATGCTAAACAATTTTGATGGAATCATGAAACCAAATACTCATTGTAGGTCAGCCCAACAAGAAATGACAACATAACAGTATTAGCATAACAAGCATAACACCATCCCAGCCAGGGGCCAATCGTCAAAATTCTGATCATGAATAATCCTTAACTCCCTGATCCTTGACAGAAGAAAAAAAGATGACTGCAAAGTCAAAAATGGATATAAAGCGCAAGCATATATGCCCAAAAGACACCGATAACTATTCCAATGGTACTTGGTAGTATGCAGTGCTCTTTATGATGAGACACATGATCCCTTTATTCTCTCATTCCTTTTTTCCATTTGTGGTGGCAAATATTTACCTGTTGAAAGTGAAATCCCACCAAATCTCATCTGTTGGCAACAGAGATCAACATACACAACCAAATGCAGGGACCTAATATTCTTTCATTCACACCGCACACTGCAACCTGCAAGCATAAACACGGACAGTACTCGATGCCCCCCGCACAGTCCTAAACCAAGCAACCAACTACCACCCCATACCTTCCTCACAGGCTGACATCATAAACCGCACCAAGCGCATGGACGAAACAATGAGTTGAACCACGAACCTAATAATATTTGCATCTGATGCAATGCCCTCTATACCATCTCAAGGAAATGACAGGTGTAATAATGGAGTAATAACTTGTAATGCACGAACGAGAAAGGGAATAGATAAAAGCACGGCAAGGGGGGTGTTTGCGGGTCGGGGAAGGGAAGGAACCTTGAGTGAGAAGTTGAGGGCGACGGAGGGGTAGTACCGGATGACGGCGGTGCCGTTGCCGCGCCAGAGCGAGAGCACACCTTCGTCCCGGACGGTGCGCGCGACGCAGTCGGCGAAGCCCCGGAACCTGCGCGCCCTGCCCAGCAGCGCGGCGTTGCCGTCCTGCGTCTGCAGCAGCAGCTTGACGCGCTCGATCGGCGCCACCACGGTGTGCACGGCGCCCCCCATCAGCGCCCCGGCCACCAGACCCCTCTCGAACTCCCACACCCGCCCCGCCGCCGCCTCCCCGCGCCCATCCCGCCGCGGCCGCCGCCCGATGGACTCCTCCACTCCCGCCCGCGCCGCCGCCGCCGCCTCCTCGCTCATTCGCCTGCCCTCCCCCTCCCTCTGGTGTTTGGACTCACCAGCCTCTCGCCCTCCTCGCCACCCCCCTGCGCTGCGGGCTGTGGCCTGTTCGGGCGCGGCGCCTACCGCCTAGAGGAGGGGGCCCCTGAACAACAACTACTACTACCAGTCTACCACTACCAGACGGCGCCTCTTTGTTTCGGTTCGGGTCGTTCCACCACTTGGACTCGGGTCGGTTGGGCACTTGGGGCTTGGGCGCGAGCGCATCGGGATGGCTTTCGCCTTGCGTGTCCCCCATGCGTGCATCGATCCTATCCTCTCCTCATTCCATGGGAGTGGGAGAGGGGAAGGGGGAAGGGGGAAGGGCCTGCCATGCGGGGCCCACCTGCCATTGTCACTGTACACAAAGCTACCGGTGGTCTCTCCTCTTGGGCGCAATGCAATGATGAGGGGATTACTCCTAGTAGATGCCTGGCAGTCTGGCACTGACTTTTTGAAAATCTAGAGCCAGCGAGTCACGCTGATTTGGACGGCAGATGTTCTAGCAACTCGGGTTCTGGTACTGGATAAACACATCCAGATAGTACAGACCATATCCACAATCTTGGATTGGAACAGGGATTTTTTCTCTCTCTCCAGGTCTGTTAGCAAATGGTCAAGTGGATGTGCTCTACAATTTCGGACGCAAGCGCGACGTGCCCTGATGGAGATGGGACCTGAGGAAGTCCAGCACCAGCGAGGCCAGCTCCTCCTCGTGCCCGGTGTAACGGTGGTTGGCCTCTGCGATGATGCGCAGCTCGTGGTTGGGGATATTCGCCGCGAACTGGCGGGCATCCTCCGCCGGGACGATCTCGTCTTTGGCGCCGTGGATCGTGAGAACCCTACAAATCAGTACATCACAGGAGTGTTTCCCCCTTCTTCCATCAACGGAAGGTGTCTGTATATATAGCCGTGTCAGTCCATGCGTGTGTAAGAGGTGTCTCACACTCTCACCTGCAGTCTTTGCTTATGGCACGGCTGGAGAAAAGGGTATCGGTGCTAAGCCGGTCTTCCAGACTCGCTCTCGCCACCCGGTACTCCAGCTCCCCTGCACAACCACCAAAACAATAGCGATGAATGATCCTCTTTATAATCGTTTCACTACATTGCCATGTGTCCTGGCTTGGAAAGAGTGAGCAGAAACACCGACCCTATAGTTTAACTTTGGATACTTCCAAGATTGACACTAGATCAGATGCATTTGTCTCACCCTGTGCTAATTAATTAGAAAGCTAAGCGATGGTCCATTGAATCAGACTCATAAGATTAACAGACAAAGAATGCCATATCAATCAAGTAAAGAAAGGCTAGACCTTTTCTATTCTTCACATCGATGTATCCATCTTTGTTTATTCTCCTCATGTAATTCTTCCCAAGGCGCCCCTCAATGCCTCGCTCTAATGCAAAGCGGCCAGAAATGTTCACAATGATAGGGACATCATGGTACTTGGAAGCATATAGAAGCACAGCATTTCGTCCTGAAGAAAAGGAATACAAGTAGTAAGACCATATACTATATATGGTGTGTTACCTGAATGAAAAGCATGGGTGGCACGCAAAGATGAAAACACATCATCGGAAAAGGAATGATCATGCAAACTTGGCCAAGTATATTGAACTATAGGAGTAAATGACAAGTAAAATAATTCTCCTGCAACGTCGAGCACTTTCTGTACAAGTTCTTGTCGAATAACTCCATTTATGGGACTTGGTGGATAATTTTGCTCTTCGGCAAAATGTGCCCGATAATTTGGCACCTAACTAAACCAGGGTCATACACTAGTAAGTCAGCTTATAATGCTTACCCTTTTGTTTCCATCAAGTTTGTGCCATATAAACGGATTTGGAAACCTTGGGCTCCACTCTGCTGCAAATTCTTTATTTGGCTGGCAATCAAGAATAGATGTTGGACATCCGATCGACTGGCTAAATGAGGGCTGCCGTATCCCACTACGTGTACCCTGTGTGATAAAGAAGAGGAGACAATCCGGCATATCCTGGTCTCTTGTGTCTTCACAAGACAAGTTTGGTAGCTCATCCTCCAAAAATGGGGTCTGGTAGCTCTTGCTCCTCAGCCTGATGCAAGGCGCTTCTCTAATTGGTGGAATAGTGCTGTCAGAAGTGTGCCCAAGGATTTTAGGCCTCAACTCCCTCATCATTCTGGTGGTTTGGGAGATGTGGAAACACTGCAATGCTAAGGGTGTGTTACAGTCGGTGGTGAATGAGAGTAGCTTGTGGTGCTTCAGCCCTCCACGAGCTACTCATCAGGTGGCTTATCCTTGACAATTAGGTCAGGGTGTGTGTGGTGGAGGTCAGGTTTTCTAGTTTAAGTGACACGCCTGCAACTATACATCTATGGAACTGGCCCTCTAGCCTTTCCTCGTATTTTTTCCTTGTTATACTGAAATGATATGCAGTTCTCCTGCCTCGTTGGACAAAAAAATAGAGGCTGCCGTGTGCTGTCTACTACCATGATCACCTGACATATGATTTACACACACAAAAAAGAAAAAGAAAAGAAAAGAAAAGAAAAAAGCAAGGAATGGAGATCAGAAGCTATATGCATGTCAGGTACGAAACACTAAACTACTTAAGTGAGTACTTTCAGTTATAGTGAATGTTCCTCAACTTGCCTTTCCACTAAGCAACAAACTCAGAAAGCAGTAGTTCAAGTTTGTATCCCAACCGACTTTTGATGCCAATTTTGCATGTTAATGCAATTTTCTATGCATGAACATATACTGTGCATGATAGGCATCAACACAAAATGAGAACTTAATACATATAAACAGTAGTTTTCCTACCTTTGCTATGCCCAATAAGAGCAATTATGTCATATTTCTGTTCTGAGAAATGTAATACTATAGAGCGCAAATTAGCTGCCTCTTTTCTGTAGCTTCCATACTGGAATTCACCATCACTTTCCCTTTAAAGGAGAAAGAGGACACATAAGTATAAACAGGAAGACATTCAACGTGGTTCTCAGAATAGAAATTATTCAAAGAATTATACATTGAATTGGAGAATGATAGCTGCAGGCTGTAGCTACTTGCTGGCATGTTATAAACGGCATGGCAACATTTTAATTCAACGCTAACATTAGAAATCTCCCACGACATTGATACCATGCTCTCATATATGCCATGATCACCACAAGATGTTACAATGGCTTACCCATTTCCAGAAAAATCAAACCGAAAAGCACTAATTCCTTCCTTTGTGATGGCATCAGCAAGGTCAACCAAGATGCTGTCATCCTGTAGGTTTTGTTAGAAAGTGCCAGATTACTAATAGTGACAGTAATAGTATAGAACTGAAGTAGAAACATAGTAACTTTTTATCCATAATCCTTTCTGCTCTACTTTGTGAATTCTGTGTGATTTGTTTCTCCAGCTTACCCAACTTGCTCGGGGTTAAAAAGGCTTTGTCCTTGTTAATGTTGCGATACATTGAGAATGTACATATCTACATTGAGAATATACTGTAGTGACAGGTAGAATTGTGTTCCTATTGCTCATTTCTTTATAATAAGACTAGCACGATCTCAATTGAATTTGTATCAGAAGTGGAACAACTTTGCACAAGCAAAAGTTTACAAAAAGAAAGAAAGAAAGAGAAGGATGGAAAGAAAGAAAGAAAGAAGGAAAGAAGTTGAAGCATCTTGAAAGTGTGACATCTCAAAGGAAAGAGTAGAAATAAAGCAATACCATATGCTCCATCCCTACCTGCTAAAAGAATAATTTTAGCAGACCAAATGGAGACATACAAGAATCTTCAGATCTTTGATGTTTAAATAGCTGGATTTATACTCCTGCTTATCACTTCACTCAACATCCTCATAAAGTACATGCACAGGGAATTAGTACCAAAGAGAATCAGATACTCAATTAAACTATTTTGTTCCTAGGGTATATTATATGGCAGCAACACAAGTAGGGGGGAAAGACTGTAAACATAGGGCTAAACTCAATATCTAATCTAGTCTAATATACTTAAATGCAAAAGTTTCCCATGGATGGTACGGACTTGCCTTTGTGGCTCGGAATCCATGGCAAAGGATCACAAGTTTCTTTGAACTTGTTTGATGCAATAAACCAACAAGCTTCTCCCCATGCTCGTTTGGAATTAGAACTCTTTGTTCACAAATAACTGTAAGCCACATGTTCAAATCGTCATACAAGTACAAATTAGAGTAGGAAACAACATTCTGAAACAAACGTGTAATCAGGTATAAATCAAGGTTTTGAATATGGACAGACTTTTGACAGCTCAATACTCATAACCTTTCACATAATGAACCGAGTCAGTACAAAGCACATATATAGGGCTTAAAATAAGCTTGTTTAACCCAGTGTGGACTCATAATCTGACCAATTGCAAAGTGAAACATTAGTGAAGTGGCCATCACATGCTTTGCGACGCTCGAAAACCCGATCAAATCTCACGAATTATGTAACTAAAATTCTGAAGTCCACCATGTATGATGGGAGTTGAACATGCAGATGCTATACTCTGTAACATGCCATGAACCACATAACCACGGCCGAAAGAAACAGATCGGTTAGGAATTCAGTCACCAGAGGAACCCTCGCTCGAGCTCGCACGGGCCGCGGGGGACCTCCTACCTGGGGACTGCGGGCATTTCTCCAGCGGCATGTGGACGAGGACGACAGGTGAGGGAGGAGCTCTCGAACCCCGACCAGCTTGCCCTGCCTCCAAGCGCTGGCGGCCACGAGATACGCGTCTCGCCGGAGGGCCGCTCGCGGTCGCGGAGGAGGGAGGAAAAGCGTTGCGAGCAGAGGCGGTCCCCGTCAGGTGGTTAAGGAGTGAACAGGGGAAGGAAGAACCGAAGAAGCCTCTCTGGACGGTCCAGATCTGCCGGCACACACGATCGAACGGTGGCCCCGCCCACATTAGGCAGCGAGGGTTTTGCAGCCGCAGGGCACTCCCACGCAGGCGGGCAGACGCAGATCACTCCGCCT